GAAAAAACAACAGCAGTTTAATATTCAGTCTGACATTTTATTGAAGTGTTGAGTTGTAGATTGTGGTGCTGTTGAACTGTACTGGATTACACTGACAGCAGTTTCTCATTTAGTCTGTCCTCACCAATATAAATGGATCAAACAGGTCAGATGTGAAGAGGAAAAGTTTATTCAGACATCAGGTATACAATTCATATCAGATGAACAATACTTAAAATGCTGTTGAATAAATACTACAATAAATACAATTAATCTTTAAATACAATAAATAAATTACAATAAATTCTTAAAATCATTATTGAATGGTAAAAACACATAAATAAGCAAAAGAATACAAAGAACATTTAATAATATAATAATATATCTTATATAGTGAGACTGAATGTTGCTCATTAGACATTCCCCACACGGATTACATGTCATATTTAACCACTACAGAGATATCAGTGACGAGTTTAAAAGGACTACCAGAGAGAGGCTGCTCTCTGGGGCAGCCTGAGCGCTCATACACACGTTTATTATCTATGAGCGCTGACACCGCTGTCATCTAGCGGACCTCACATTGAGCTGGGCTGTGTATCAATACATCGACCACGGCTCTGAAGTTTAAACTATGCATGAAAACACTACGTTCCGTGACAACTCATGTGTCATTTCCGATGATTGCTGTGGAATGCATGCTGGGATACCTGGCTGTCTGAAGTCCACACAAGTCTGCTCCGATGCGATGGGGAAATGGGCATGGCGAGAACACATCCGGGAATTTGGACTGAACTTGGCCAGATGTGAACTTTGAATTGGAACAGTACTTGGGCTGTGACTGATTACGTGTCACAAGTCCACAAGAACACAAGTCCACAAGAACACAAGTCTGCACAAGAACGCATATTGAGAAGTGGCTCCTGTGTGTGTGTGTGTGTGTGTGTGTGTGTGTGTGTGTGTGTGAGATGGTGGGAGATAGGTGGGGCTCGTGTGTGGGCGGGGCTTACAGGGAGTAGGTGTAGCCTGAGGCTGAAGGACCAACTGACATGTTTGTTGTTTCCAGACAAACAGGAAGTAACTGAAGGTCCTGTGAGTCCTCATAAAAAGCCAAGCTGCAGGTGAGTCCATTCACCTGTTTGAGCTGCGACACGAGAGCATCAACCTGATGGAGGTGAGTGTGTGTGTGTGTGTGTGTGTGTGTGTGTGTAGTCAGAGTGCAGAGCTACAGAGTCTGATTCAGCTTTAACCTGATGTTCTCTGTAAACTGTGGTCACTGTCTCTGTCCTTTATCTTTCCTCCATGTCTCTGTCCTCCATCTCTCCTCCATGTCTCTGTCCCTCATCTTGTCTTCATGTCTCTGTCCTCCATCTTTCCTCCATGTCTCTGTCCTTTATCTTTCCTCCATGTCTCTGTCCCTCATCTTGTCTTCATGTCTCTGTCCTCCATCTTTCCTCCATGTCTCTGTCTTCCATCTTATCTTCATGTCTTCACTGTCTCTGATTATTTCTGTGATGATGTGCTGAGGGACTGGAGCTGTACAGATGGTTCCAGCTGTGGAAAGTAACTGAGTACATTTACGACAATACCCTTCTGAAGTAACAGATTACATGTTCCTGTACTTTACCCGAGTATTTACATTTTCTCAGAGGGAGATATTGTACTTTGACTGCGTCACGTGTGTGGGCAGATTCAGATGATTGATCCATCCATCTTCTTACCGCTTCATCCTCTTGAGGGTCGCGGAGGGCTGGAGCCTATCTCAGCTGACATTGGGTGAGAGGCAGGGTTCACCCTGGACAGGTCACCAGACTATCACAGGACTGACACATAGAGACAGACAACCATTCACACTCACATTCACACCTACGGACAATTTAGAGTTATCAATTAACCTGCATGTCTTTGGACTGTGGGAGGAAGCTGGAGCACCTGGAGGAAACCCACACTGACACGGGGAGAACATGCAAACTCCAGGATCGAACCGGGAACCCTCTTGCTGTGAGGCGATAGTGCTATCCACTATCTATACCACCGTGCCGTGGTATGGTGATTGATACATGTGATCAGTAATAACTGATTGATACATGTGATCGGTAATAACTGATCATCCTGAGCAGCTCCACCTTCACCAGCTGATCAACATCAAACTGATCAACACATAAATGATCAATAATTATAATATCATTTAGATTACTCTGCAGAAACAATACTTTTCCTTAAAGTACTTTATTAAGGATACGATGATGTTAATACTTTTTTACTTCAGTGAGATTTTAAAAGCAGAACTTTAACTTGTAACTGATCACAAGTTAATCACTAACTGTAACAAGTTAATCACTAACTGAGTATTTTTACTCTGTAACTGAAGTAAACGATGGGAGTCTGAGTTGGGGGTTTGAGGCGGTGACAGTTGATGTTTGCAGCGTTTATTTGTTCAGTGGAAACATGTAAATACAACCAGGTTCCTGTCGGTTGACTTTCCCTCCGGCTCCCACTAAGAACCTCTGATTGGCCAAGGACAGGACAGGTGTGTGTCGTTACCTGAGGAGGTGATTAAAGCCTGTTGGATGCTGAGACGGAGGAACATCAGACAGGAACATATGTGACAGGTCACTTTATAAACCTGATGGAGGAGGACATGATAGCCTGATAGCTGAAGGCTCTGGCTCCTGATCTACTTTTGGAGACTTTAGGGACCACGAGTAACCCTGCGTTCTCAGAGCGCAGTGTTCTGGTGGGATAATATGGCACTATGAGCTCTCTAAGATATGACGGAGCTTGACCATTTAGAGCTTTATAAGTTAACAGTAGGATTTTAAATTCAATTCTGGATTTTACAGGGAGCCAGTGCAGAGAAGCTAAAACAGGAGAAATATGATCTCGTTTCTTAGTTCCTGTTAGTACACGTGCTGCTGCATTCTGAATTAGCTGGAGAGTTTTTAAGGACTTACTAGAGCTACCTGATAATAGAGAGTTACAGTAATCCAGCCTTGAGGTAACAAAAGCGTGGACCAATTTTTCTGCATCTTTTCGGGTCAGGATAGGCCTAATTTTCACAATATTACGCAGATGAAAAAATGCAGTCCGTGAGGTTTGTTTTAAATGAGAATTAAAAGACAAATCTTGATCAAATATTACTCCGAGGTTTCTTACGGTAGTGCTAGAGGCCAGAGCAATGCCATCTAGAGAAACTATGTCATCAGATAAAGAGTCTCTGAGTTGTTTGGGGCCAAGAACAATAACTTCAGTTTTGTCTGAATTTAACATCAGGAAATTGGTGCTCATCCAAGTTTTTATGTCTTTAAGGCAGTTATGGAGTTTAGTTAATTGATTACTTTCTTCTGGTTTCATCGATAAATACAACTGTGTATCATCCGCATAACAATGGAAATTTATAGAGTGATTTCTAAAGATGTTACCTAAAGAAAGCATATATAGAATAAATAGGATTGGTCAGAGAAAAGAAAATTGAAGAAATCCAAAACAAACTTTAGTACGTAAGGATGATTCATTATGAACGTCAACAAACTGAAAATGATCAGATAAATAAGATTTAGAGACCTGATATTTAACAGTCCGCATTTAATTCTCCTGTTTTGTCTTTCTGTCACAGAGGAGATTTTAATTTTTATGAGGTTGTTATGCACAACTCCTCTTTGTTTAATTTTAGATTTAGATATGGGACCTGACTCCCAGTGATGGGACCTGACTCCCAGTGATGAGACCTTTGTTATGTTAATCAGTGCACGCTCTTCCCCACAAACATCCAACAGCCTCTGAAACAATATTTACTCTGACTAACAGCTGATCTCACTGATACGATATGATCTGAGGCTGTACTGGATCAGTGTGGACATGGGAGGGCAGCAGAGAGCTTCAGTCCTGATGACAGGGTTTAAATGTCGATGCTTTGAGCACTGTCAGTTCAGCAGGGGCTCTGTGTGTATAACTGGGTGTTTGATGAGCCCTTAAAACAGACGCTCATGCCGACTCATATTTAACTATGAGGCTGAATCCAGATGTTCAGACTTCACCACACTGACAGACTTTGTGTGTGCGTCCCCAGAAAGTCTGGGAGGACTGAGGGCTCCAGATCCTCAACTCATCCAGTCCACAGGACCCAAAGTGGACTGTCTGCAGACTTCACTGATTTAATTTCCCACAATTCATTGCAATCCAAATGTGATGTTGTACTTTTTTTGTAGCTGACTAAAAAACAAAACGTAGGTTTCTGTGACACAGTTACTGTAGAATATTAAACCTTGAAATAAAATTCAACACCATGATACAGAAACATGTAGAGATACAAGCTGTAGAGAGGAATCAGAACACATGTGTAACAGCAGTCTGCCCTGTGGGTGGCGCTGTGTGATGTCAAATATAAAGGCTGGAAACATGGCCGAACAACAACAGGAGATGTTGTGATGTCATGGACAGCTCGACCCGGCGTTTCTCAATCTGCGTTCTTGCGGACTTGTGACACGTCACTAGTCGCAGCCAAAGTACTGTTCCAGTTCAAAGTCAGCATCCAGCCAAGTACAGGCCAAATGCCCGGATATGAACTTGCTTTGCCCGTTCCATCGGGGATGCATCAGGAGGTGACTTCTGTGGACTTTTGACAGCCAGGTATCCCAGAATGCATTTTTCACAGACCAGCATCAATGGCAGCCATCCTTGGGAGTTTGTACTCCCGAGTCGAACTTGCCAAGTCCAAACTCCCAAGTGCGCAAGTCCAAACTTGCTGTACTTGGTATTGAGAAACGCCTCAAGTTAGAGTTAGAGTTCGACTTCCTGAAGCTCCGCTTGCTGTGACAATAAGTTAACTACTACTGTGGTTAATGCTAACGTAGCTCCTTGGGGACTGAAGCTGTGTCCTGTAAGTTAGCGTAGCATAGTTAGCTCTGAGAGAAGGTCCCCTTAGAAAAAACTGTCCTGTATGTTAGCGTAGCATTGTTAGCAGGGTACCTGTATGTCAGGACATGAGACACAGAGAGGCGGTCCGACCATTTAGCGCTGATCAATAACACGGATTGATCACATGACCTTTTGCAGGAGGCTGATCTGAGGTCTGTTTGTGTCTCAGCAGGATGGGTGTTGACAGACCCATAGCAGATGATTGGAAGAAACCCCCCACTCCTCCCCCCAACTCCTCCAGCCAATCAGAGATGGAGGCGGGGTCAAGGTGAGTCAGACACAGACAGTGCTTCTCAAAGTCAAGAATGCTTCCATAGTAGGACAGATCCTGCCATGTCAGGTCCAACAGAAACTTCCCAACATTCAGTGATCTCACATTTAAACAGGTTGGTGAGTGTTCAGGTCATTAAAGAGGCTCCATTTTCAGTTCAGGTAAATCATGAGCACAAAATTTTGTGTACTTCAGCTGAGGATACACGTATCTTTAAAATTCTCTGAAGGAAGGACTCCGTCCTCAGTAGAAATCAAAGGATCCTTGACACTGGAACAGTCCTTCAGTAGGTTTTGATGATGGAGCCTACTTGTAATTCAATCTAAGGATCCTTCCTCAACTTTGAGAAACATTATGTGAACACATGAACATGGACGAGGAGGAAGATGAAGGGATGAAATGTGTGAGCGGTGAGCTGCATTTCAGTGTGAGCTGTAAGCGGTAAGTGAGTATGAGCTGTAGGTCAGTGTGAGCTGTAGGTCAGTGTGAGCTGTGAGCTGTAGGTCAGTTTGAGCTGTAGGTGAGTGTGAGCTGTGAGCTGTAGGTGAGTGTGAGCTGTGAGCTGTAGGTGAGTGTGAGCTGTGAGCTGTAGGTGAGTGTGAGCTGTAGGTGAGTGTGAGCTGTGAGCTGTAGGTGAGTGTGAGCTGTAGGTGAGTGTGAGCTGTGAGCTGTAGGTGAGTGTGAGCTGTAGGTGAGTGTGAGCTGTGGGTGAGTGTGAGCTGTAGGTGAGTGTGAGCTGTGGGTGAGTGTGAGCTGTAGGTGAGTGTGAGCTGTAGGTGAGTGTGAGCTGTGGGTGAGTGTGAGCTGTAGGTGAGTGTGAGCTGTAGGTGAGTGTGAGCTGTAGGTGAGTGTGAGCTGTAGGTGAGTGTGAGCTGTAGGTGAGTGTGAGCTGTAGGTGAGTGTGAGCTGTAGGTGAGTGTGAGCTGTAGGTGAGTGTGAGCTGTAGGTGAGTGTGAGCTGTAGGTGAGTGTGAGCTGTAGGTGAGTGTGAGCTGTAGGTGAGTGTGAGCTGTAGGTGAGTGTGAGCTGTAGGTGAGTGTGAGCTGTAGGTGAGTGTGAGCTGTAGGTGAGTGTGAGCTGTAGGTGAGTGTGAGCTGTAGGTGAGTGTGAGCTGTAGGTGAGTGTGAGCTGTAGGTGAGTGTGAGCTGTAGGTGAGTGTGAGCTGTAGGTGAGTGTGAGCTGTAGGTGAGTGTGAGCTGTAGGTGAGTGTGAGCTGTAGGTGAGTGTGAGCTGTAGGTGAGTGTGAGCTGTAGGTGAGTGTGAGCTGTAGGTGAGTGTGAGCTGTAGGTGAGTGTGAGCTGTAGGTGAGTGTGAGCTGTAGGTGAGTGTGAGCTGTAGGTGAGTGTGAGCTGTAGGTGAGTGTGAGCTGTAGGTGAGTGTGAGCTGTAGGTGAGTGTGAGCTGTAGGTGAGTGTGAGCTGTAGGTGAGTGTGAGCTGTAGGTGAGTGTGAGCTGTAGGTGAGTGTGAGCTGTAGGTGAGTGTGAGCTGTAGGTGAGTGTGAGCTGTAGGTGAGTGTGAGCTGTAGGTGAGTGTGAGCTGTAGGTGAGTGTGAGCTGTAGGTGAGTGTGAGCTGTAGGTGAGTGTGAGCTGTAGGTGAGTGTGAGCTGTGGGTGAGTGTGAGCTGTAGGTGAGTGTGAGCTGTAGGTGAGTGTGAGCTGTAGGTGAGTGTGAGCTGTAGGTGAGTGTGAGCTGTAGGTGAGTGTGAGCTGTAGGTCAGTGTGAGCTGTAGGTGAGCTGTGACTCAGACACTGAAACCTCTGCTGGTTGTTTGACGTCCAGTTTCAGTCCTCTGGACAGAGCGAGCTTCCTGTCCTACGCCACCATGTCCTGGATGGGTCCTCTGATGTGGTCCATGTCCAAAAAAAAGCTGGACCTCAACTCCATCAGTCTGTCCCCTCTGGACGGTGCTGACATCAACGGAGATAGGTGAGACCATCATCATCATTGCCATCATCATCATCATCATCATCATCACCATCATCATCATCATCACCTAAAACATCATCATCAGCAGCAGATCTTATTTGAAACTGAAATGTGTGCTTCGATGTGTGTGTGTGTGTGTGTGTGTGTGTGTGTGTGTATGTGTATGTGTATGTGCAGGTTGCAGCGTCTGTGGGAACAGGAAGTGTCTGCGGTTGGTCTACAAAAGGCGTCTCTGACACGAGTCCTGTTCCGTTTCCAGAGAAACCGAGTGCTGGCAATTGTCGGTCTCTCCATCTTCTTCATGTTGGCTCTGTTCTGTGGCTCAGTGAGTCTCAGCATTAGATGACATCATTGACTTAGAAAGAGGACGAAACATCTACATGTGTCTTTACTGTTTCTTTTACTGTAATGTCAGAGCTGCTCATGTGTTGGACATGTCCTCCAGTTTATTAGACTGACTTTATTAGGTACACCTGGTGGAAAAGTCTCGTGTCTCAGTGTGTCCTCTCAGTGTCTCAATGTGTCCTCTCAGTGTGTCTCCCAGTGTCTCACTTTGTCCTCTCAGTGTGTCTCCCAGTGTCTCAGTGTGTCCTCTCAGTGTCTCAATGTGTCCTCTCAGTGTGTCTCCCAGTGTCTCATTGTGTCCTCTCAATGTGTCCTCTCAGTGTCTCAGTTTCAGGTCCTCACAATATTTGTCTGTCCCATCAGGGCGTCCTGGTCCATGAGATCCTGAAGTACATCATCAAACCGGAGGCGTCCACAGTTGGGGAGGGGCTCGGTCTGTGTTTCTGTCTCCTCCTGGTGGACTTCTCCAGGAGCGGGTGTCTCGCTCTGGTCTGGGCTCTGAACCTGAGGACAGGAATCAGACTGAAGACAGGGTTCTGTATGCTGGGCTTCCACAAGATCGTCACTCTGAGGACACACTGTGGACTGTCTGTGGGACAGGTCAGGAAGACACATCATGATGTCTGTTTCCTTCACAGTTCACATGTTTCACCTCTGAGTGTCCAACATGGACGGTGATTAGCTTAGCTTAGCACCAAGACCTGAAGTAGGGGGAAACTTGTTAGCTTAGCTTAGCTTCTCTTAGTTTAGCTTGGCATAAAGACCTGAAGCAGGGGATTTAAATGTCATGGTGAAGGCAAGTGAGAGACCTAAAGGATAAAAAATATAAAAAATATATAAATAAATACAAATAAAATAATGACTACGATAAGGGCAAAAAGATAGACTCATTAAGATAAATAAATTAACAGATAAAAAGTAAGGTTTAAAATCTAAAATAGACAACATAACATAAAGGCGTCTGTGAAAGTGGGTCTTAAGAAGTGATTTAAAAGACGTCACTGAATCTGCGAGCCGTATCTCCTCAGGCAGGTTGTTCCACAGCCGAGGGGCCCTGATCGGATCTAAGGCTGCGAGCTGGCTCACATGGTGTCAACATTTCTGCTATATAGCTTGGGGCCAGACCCAGGCGAGCTTTAAAAGTGATCAGTAAAATCTTAAAATCAGTTCTAAAACAAACAGGAAGCCAATGGAGAGAAGCCAGGATTGGGGTGATGTGATGTCGTCTATTAAAACCAGTAAGAAGCCCAGCTGCTGTGTTCTGAACTAGGTGCAAGCGGGACAGGGACTTTTGGTTAATTCAATTCAATTTCAATTCAATTTTATTTATAAAGCCCAATATCACAAATCACAATTTGCCTCACAGGGCTTTACAGCATACGACATCCCTCTGTCCTTATGACCCTCACAGCTGATCAGGAAAAACTCCCCAAAAAACCCTTTAACGGGGAAAAAAACGGTAGAAACCTCAGGAAGAGCAACTGAGGAGGGATCCCTCTTCCAGGACGGACAGACGTGCAATAGATGTCGTACAGAACAGATCAGCATGATAAATTAACAGTAATCCGTATGACAATGCCAGAAAGAAGGGAGTTACAGTCTTGAGAAAATGAATGTATGAACGACTTTTTCCAGGTCTGAGTGTGAGAGCATTGGTTTGATTTTTGAGATGGTTCTAATTTGGAGAAAACAAGACAGGACGAGTTTTTTGATCTGTGGTCCGAAGGTGAGGTCAGAGTCAAATCGTACTCCCAGTGGGTTTTACATTAGCAGACGGTGGACTGAGGCTATTTTCAGTGAGAGTGGGTTTTGTGTTTGGGGGACTGAACAATATGATTTCTGATTTTGAGTTATCGAGTTGAAGAAAATTTTGTGCCATCAACAGTTGATATCACTGAGACAATCTAAAACAGCAGCTAGGCTTTGGGTGAAGGTATATCTGTGTGTTGTCCGCGTAGCAATGAAAAGATACGTTGTGTTACTGAATGATTTATCAATCGATTGATCTATCAATCAGCTGCCTCCCCTCTCAATGTATTTATCCATTAATCTGTCTCTGTGTGTGTCAGATGGTGAATGTTTTGACCAGCGACAGTTACCGGCTGTACGAAGCCGTCCTGTTTGGTCCTTTCCTGCTGCCCTTCCCCATCCTCCTCATCGTCAGCGCCATCTACACCTGCACCATCCTCGACCACACCGTCCTCATCGGCTTCGTCATCTTACTCCTCTTCTTCCTCCTCCAGGTGTGTGGACACACTGCTGACTGTTTTACACTGTGACAGGGAGTGAGATGCTGCAGACAGGATGTAGTTAGCTTAGCTTAACATACAGGCAGGAAACAGCAGCTTTACTGTGTCCCCTCTCAGGGGTCCAGATTTTATATAAACATGGAAACATGATATATATGATGAAAAATAGCAGTGCACACACCTCCCAAAATCTTAGACAGTATAAAAATGTGCAAAGTGAAGATCAAAAAACAGATGGAGCACCAAAAGTATTTAATGTGGGCAAAAACATAAAGACACGGATGTGTTTCAGCTGAGGAGCCCTGGTCAGCATGATAAAACAACAGTGAATGGGCACTGACACACAGGTGAGGATAGAGAATAAGATCCACCTGTGTCTTTACCTGAAACCTGTCCGTGTCTTTATGCTGCTGCTCATATTAAACTGAATCAGACATTCAGTCTCAGCTCCAGCTGCTGCAGCCATGATGACTTCATCAGTGAATTCATTGTCAGATACTTTTATTTATTCGTCCTCATTAGTTTTTATCATGTTTATTTATTTTATTTGTTTATATTTGGTGAAGTTGTCATTGACTAAAGGTTTGAACATTTTGCTCCGATCTCAGTCAAAGAAAAGTGTCGATATATTTTAGGTTATTTTAAATATTTCAGTCAAAACAAAACCAAAAATGTAATCATCAAAGATTTTTACCTTTTAATGACGTGATGAAAAACACAGAGAGCAGCAGACAGTATCAGATGTAGAGATCTGATGTGGTCTGATGTGGATTGATCATGTTACAGTATTGCCTTGCAAACTGCACGGCGACCTTTGAATCCATTGACCTCTGAAGACAGGAAATATTGTTACATGTATTTTGTTTATTAAAGTGAAAATATAAAACTGAACACCTGAATTTAAGTTTCTGTCTTTCAGCAACAAAACAGACTGACGTTAGATAATGAAACAAAATAAACCCTCCAACAGTCACCTCGTCTGGTTTATGTGATGTGAGAATGTGGTGTCTGTCTCTACAGACTGTTTTTGTCCTGCTGTCTCATAGCATAATGACAGAAGAAGTAATCTGATTACATGTTTTTATGTGTGTGTGTGTGTGTGTGTGTCAGTTAGTGTCTGCGAGGCTCATCAATCACTTCCAGAAGAAGGCGGTTGAGATCACTGACTGTCGAATCCGAATCATCAACGAGATCCTCACCTACATCAAACTCATCAAGATGTACGTCTGGGAGAAGTCCTTCTACGGCAAGGCCACAGGTGAGAACAGTCACACGGTTCACCTGTACAGAACATCACTGTCACACAGGTGAGAACAGTCACACGGTTCACCTGTTCAGAACATCACTGTCACACAGGTGAGAACAGTCACACGGTTCACCTGTACAGAACATCACCATCACACAGGTGAGAACAGTCACACGGTTCACCTGTACAGAACATCATTGTCACATAGGTGAGAACAGTCACAGGGTTCACCTGTTCAGAACATCATTGTCACATAGGTGAGAACAGTCACAGGGTTCACCTGTTCAGAACATCACTGTCACACAGGTGAGAACAGTCACAGGGTTCACTTGTGCAGAACATCACCATCACACAGGTGAGAACAGTCACACGGTTCACCTGTACAGAACATCACTGTCACACAGGTGAGAACAGTCACACGGTTCACCTGTACAGAACATCACTGTCACACAGGTGAGAACAGTCACACGGTTCACCTGTACAGAACATCACTGTCACACAGGTGAGAACAGTCACACGGTTCACCTGTACAGAACATCACTGTCACACAGGTGAGAACAGTCACACGGTTCACCTGTACAGAACATCACTGTCACACAGGTGAGAACAGTCACACGGTTCACCTGTACAGAACATCACTGTCACACAGGTGAGAACAGTCACACGGTTCACCTGTACAGAACATCACTGTCACACAGGTGAGAACAGTCACACGGTTCACCTGTACAGAACATCACTGTCACACAGGTGAGAACAGTCACACGGTTCACCTGTACAGAACATCACTGTCACACAGGTGAGAACAGTCACACGGTTCACCTGTACAGAACATCACTGTCACACAGGTGAGAACAGTCACACGGTTCACCTGTACAGAACATCACTGTCACACAGGTGAGAACAGTCACACGGTTCACCTGTACAGAACATCACTGTCACACAGGTGAGAACAGTCACACGGTTCACCTGTACAGAACATCACTGTCACACAGGTGAGAACAGTCACACGGTTCACCTGTACAGAACATCACTGTCACACAGGTGAGAACAGTCACACGGTTCACCTGTACAGAACATCACTGTCACACAGGTGAGAACAGTCACACGGTTCACCTGTACAGAACATCACTGTCACACAGGTGAGAACAGTCACACGGTTCACCTGTACAGAACATCACTGTCACACAGGTGAGAACAGTCACACGGTTCACCTGTACAGAACATCACTGTCACACAGGTACGAATGTGGCACCAGTTCAGGTCTGCAAAGTGAAAACTTAAATAAATAAATATGTCTGCTGCTCTTTGTGATGAAACATCAGAAAAATGTAAAATAACAAAAGAGTGGAATAATAATAAAGTAGAGTAATAAAAATGTAAATAAACCTGTTTTGTCCTGCCCGCTTATGAATCAGAAAAATCTGAACGGATCATTTTTTCTGAGTGATTTCTGATGTTGAACTGACTGACAGTGTAACGGATGAAGATGATAATGATGATGATGATGATGGTGATGATGATGACAGTCAGCGGTGTGTTTACAGACATCAGGAAAACAGAGCAGAGGATGTTGGCGAAAGCTTCAGTCATCCAAAACTTCAGTGTGACCATCAGCCCCCTCGTCCCCATCTTCGCCATCATGGTCACCTTCATCGTCCACACGCTGCTGGGTCTTCCTCTCAATACCAGCTCCGTGAGTACTACTGATACCACTGTTGCTACCACAACCGGAGAGCAGATACATCTGTGTCCTCATTGAAGCTAGCAGCGTGAGCCAGCTCTGCAGGTCGACCTGCAGAGCTCTTCTGGCGTCTGCAGTACATCTGGAGACCTGGTGTTTTGTATCTTACTGTATGAATGCAGCAGCAGTGTGTGTGATTCCCTTCATTTATTTAAATCGTCTGATATATGCACTATCGTACCCTGCTGACCCCGCCCCCTGCTGACACTGCCGCACGGTGGTCCCGCCCCTGCTGGCCCCGCCCCCAGTCCTTTATGGATGATTGACTCTGTGTTTGTTCATCAGGCCTTTCCTGTCGTCACCATCTTCAACAGTATGAGGTTTATTCTGTCCTTGTTGCCCACGACCTTCAACATCCTGGCTGAAGCTACTGTGTCTGTGGATCGACTCAAGGTGACTGATGATGACTCCGCCCACCTTCAACACCTTCTATCACTGTGTGCAGATTACCTGTCAATGATTAACTGTTAGATCAGTCCCTCCAGAAAATCGCGATCTTGCAATCGCAATTAACACAAATTGAACGAAAGTTATTTCTGCGTTTTTCCGCATTTTCCGGCCGACCAGAAGTCGTCACGCATGTGATGTCATTTGAAACATCATCAGATGTGTCATCAAATGCGCTAATGGCATTGCAGTTTTGCACTGTTTAAATGCAGACAATATGTGTTGAAAGTATTAAAATGTACAGAAGATGGAGCTCACATGTTGTTGTACAGTCACATTGTCTGGTTTGAGAGCTACAATATTCACCCAGGATTTTTTGCAACATTATTGGAGTCCATGTTTTGAAACTAATTAAATAAGACTAAAGAAGAGAACTATAAAAAACATTTGCAGCTATTTTTGTAATGTTCAGTATGATTATTATAGCAAGTGATTACGTGACTTATTTTTTTGGAGGTAGTGATTAAAAAAAAAATCACAGTTTTTTCTCCTCTTGTCATTAGCTGCAATTTCCCACAAAAATCACATAAAAATGCCATAATTTTTATCACAAGTTCTGACAAAATTGGCTGCAAAGGTTTTTTTGCCCTGAGATCCTGGAAGGACTGATATACACATACAAACGTTTATAAAACAAATAAAATGCCTTTTTAGATTCACAAAATAAAATGAATCAAAGGATAAAACATTCATCAGTAAAAACAAAACAAAAGAAGAAACACAGAGCAGATAGATGGAACAGAAGAGACAAACAGACACAGACCAGAGGACAAGGACTACACATGGTGGAGGGCTCTGTACATGAGAACCAGTATCTGGAGGTGAATCCTGAACCTGATGTGAAGCCAGAGTAAAGAAACTAACCTGGGTCTGATGTGTGTCGACCTGTTGGAGCTGGTTCACAGATGAGCAGCAGCATTCTGGATTATTTTACGACTGTTCAGAGAAGATTTGTTCAGACTAGCAAAAAGAGAATTTCAGTCGTCCAGTTGGGAGGACACAGAAACACTGATCATCACCTCCAGCACAGGCCGAGACACCACAGACCTGAGCTCTGAAGTATTTATCAGCTGAATAAATCAAGTTCAAATCAATGATTTAACGTGATGGTCAAAATACCTGGTCAGAAATAACAGCAGGATCCTAAAATCTGACCACATGGCTGAAGACAGGGACCCAATACTCTGAACAACCTTTGAAACTCTGCTGTCTGAAGCCATTGTCAGAACCTCCATCAGTAGTTGTTTGACATCCAGTCACTGATGCTAACAAACAGTTGCGTAATGTGACCCAGTGGAAGCATATAAAGTAAATAACATAGGACCTGAGACAGAGCCCTGAGGGACACTGCAGGCACACACACATACAGAGACAAAACTCCACCCATATATGTACATCAGCAGTCAGCTTTAGCAGCATCACTGTGTTATTGCGTTACCAGAGTCTTTAGAAATCCCACAGTCTGGGGCGTTGGTTGCTTAGTGGGTAGAGCAGGTGCCCCGTGTACAAGGCTGTTGCTACAGCGGCCCGGGTTTGAATCCAGCCTGTGGCCCTTTGCTGCATGTCCACCCCCTCTCTCTTTCCCCCTTTCATGCTTACCTGTCCTCTCTTAAAGGCAAAATGCCCAAAAAATATCTTTAAAAAAAAAAAGCCACGGTCTGATTTATAAACCGTCAAAACTACAAATGCTAACCCTTTCAGTTAAATTCAATCAAGATAATTACACCAACAGATCTTAGTGATTTCTGAATATGTTCTGAAATCATCTCCATATCAACTCTGTCATAAATCCTGAAGGTAAAAACTAATTCCTGTTTGTTTGTTTGTTTGTTTGTTTATGATCAGCTGGCTCACTTTCAGGAGACATGACTGTGACGACAGATTCAGATGGATTTAAAGTCCTGTGTGTTTATATCATGTGTATAATTGTGTTCGTGTGTGTGTGTGTGTGTGTTTCAGAGGTTACTGCTGACAGAGAATCCAGACTCGTACGTTGTCCGGAACATATACGACAAGTCAGCCGTGGTTGTCACGGAGAAGGCCACGCTGTCCTGGACCAAACCAATCCACCCCCCCGACACAGAGGACAGGGACGACCTGGTGTCAAAAAACCGACCCTGTGACGTGATGGCGACTCTGAGGAACATCTCCTTCACCCTGAACAAGGTCACACTGACGAGACGAGTGTTTCCATGGTGTTATTTAACAAGATGACGACCTCTGTTAAATATGTCTTTATTGATGAACACTGACCTCAGAGGCATGTCACAGCGGACGGTTCAGACGGGTCATAAAAATCACTTCAGTTAAAAGAAAAAGGATGTGAAATAAGATTTATGATTATTAATATACCGATGTTAAATCAAGTTGTTGAAGTGAAGTCACTTCAGAGTTATACAATATCTGCATGATTTAACATGACTTCCTTAATAAACCACGCCCACTTCCTGTCTTCTATTCAAGTACAGATCAGTTTAGTCCTCACCTGGGCTGTGACATCACACCAGGTGATCTGGCTGATGTGTTAATGATGGTTTGTGTTTTCTCTGCAGGGCCAGTTGATGGGTGTGTGTGGAAACGTTGGCAGTGGGAAGACGTCACTGATCTGCAGTCTGTTAGAACAGGTGAGTTCACCTGTGTGTCAGGTTTGTCCCCCTGTCTGTCAGGTACGTCCACCTGTGTGTCAGGTATGCTCACCTGTCTGTCAGGTACGCTCACCTGTGTGTCAGGTACACTCACCTGTCTGTCAGGTACGCTCACCTGTGTGTCAGGTACGCTCATCTGTCTGTCAGGTATGCTCACCTGTGTGTCAGGTACGCTCACCTGTTTGTCAGGTACGCTCACCTGTGTGTCAGGTACGCTCACCTGTGTGTTTGTATTTCAGCTCCACCTGCAGCAGGGCTCAGTGGCGGTGGACGGATCGATTGCCTATGTGTCCCAGCAGGCGTGGATCTTCTATGGGACGGTGCAGGACAACATCCTGATGGGGGAACCTATGGACCGATCCAGGTAGATAAACTCCTCCTCCTCCTGTGATGAAGGTGTAAGGTGACGTCTGTAGTGACGTCCGGATGTTCTGCAGGTACAACAGAGTCCTGCACAGCTGCAGCCTGAAGGCCGACCTGGACATCCTGCCTCATGGTGACCAGACAGTGGTGAGTCCGACACACACACACGACACACACACAGGTGTGTAGGTGTGAGCCCAGTGTTCCGTTATCATTAATCAATCAGTCTAATCAACGGCTACTGAGATGATCAATTATCAGTTCAGTTCAAAGAGGTTTTAATGACATGACCTCACTGAAACATGGTAATGTCAAAGTCGAGGTACAAGGTGCTAACAGGAAACAGTTTTTGAAATGCAAACAATAAAACATTATATAAACGTTATAGTGCGAACACAGCAACCAGAACAACTAAATGATCTGATGCAAGCTGAAACATTCTGATGAATATGAGCAATAATGTAAAAAAGAAAATATCATACAATAAAATAAAGATAAGAACATAAAAGCTGCAGGTGTGTAAATTATTATTCGATCATCTTTTTTCACTCAAAATGTGAAACATCTTCTGGTTTTAAGCATCTGAACTGATTTCCTGTGATTTGGTCGTATAAACACTTTTTTTTTTCTTCGCATTTTTAAGAATGACTGCAAAAGATAATAATTTTCATTATTTTTAATTGACCACTTTATTAAAGTTATTTTCTTATAAAATATTGGAAAATACTTAAAATCTCCTCCAAACCCAGTCTAACATATTCACACTCACAATGTGTGTCTGAACAACATGGACACACACACAGTGTGTCATCAGTAGCAGATGTAACGGCCCTGAGCTGATGGTCCTCACAGATACAGCATAACTGTGTGTGTTTATGTCCCAGCTGGGGGAGCAGGGCGTGAACCTGTCGGGGGGGCAGAAACAGAGGATCAGTCTGGCCAGAGCCATTTACTCCAACAAAGACCTGTACCTGCTGGACGACCCACTGTCCGCCGTCGACGCCCACGTCGGAAAACACATCTTCGAAGAGTGTATCAAGACGGACCTGCTGGGAAAGTCCGTCATACTGGTCACGCACCAGTTACAGGTGAGGTTAAACTGGTCACCCACCTGCTACAGGTGAGGTTAAACTGGTCACCCACCTGCTACAGGTGAGTGTCCAGTTTAACGTCAATGTCAAAGACCAATCAGACTGACTTGTGTCTGTCTGTCTGTCCATCAGTACATGGAGTACTGTGACAAGGTCCTGGTCCTGAAGGATGGGGTGGTCCTTGAAGCAGGAAGTCACTTGGAGCTGATGAGGGCGGGGCAGCACTACGCTGAGCTCATCACCACACACCTGACGGAGCAGCGGGTCACAGTAAGACACCAGCCAATCAGTACTCTCCTCTTGCCTCAGCAGGTGGACACTCCTCTGTCGTGACATCATCAGAGAAGATTTAAACTGTTTGATTTTAATCTCACAGAAACTCTGACAGCGTTAAAATAAAAACAGGAAGTGTGTGTCAGCTGATCTCTGACTTCCTGTTTCCTGTTTTCAGCCTCATAAAGAAGAGAAGAAGAAGAAGGAGGAGGAGATTAAATGTCACATGGACGGAGGGATCATCAACCCAGGTACACCTCATACACACACACACACACACACACACACACACACACACAGAGCAGCTGATTATTGTTGTTGTTGTTGTTGTTGTTGTTCCCCTGAGGACAGTCAGTAATGTCTTTTATTCATGAGGTCATTATGAATCATGTTTACAGCTGAATCATTAACAGATATTAACAGATTTATGAACAGACGATCAGATGCAGAGTTATTGATTGATAACGGATTGATTATTAAAGTTATATTTGGATCTTCTCTCAGTGTCTGAATCAACATGTTGCTGTCTGTCTATGACAACATGAACTCAGTGCAGCAAGGAGAGATGAAACCATTCATCCATTCATCCATTAGTTCATTCATCCATTCAAAGGAATCAATAATTATTTGGATTTTGCAGCAGAAATGTTAAATATTAATATTCACAGTTTATTATAATCACAGGAAACAAACAGTTTGATGAGTGGATGATGTGATGAATGATGATCTGCTGTCACTGACTTCAGATCAGTGATTCAATCAGACTGACCACAGATCAGTCGTGTCTGTTGCTCTGTGTCAGAGAGGAGTCGTCCTGTTGAATCAGAGAGGGATTTTCTTCAACAGTAACAACAGGGTGCGAGGGAGCGCTTCATCCCAGTGCTTCATAGGAACAAAAACCCTCCCAGCACTTTGAGTGACGTGCTCCACATGGGTTTGTTTCAATGACAACAATCGGGTTTCCATCCACCTATTTTTATTCGCATTTTAAACAATTGCTAAAAAAAAAAACGCCAGAAATTTGAAAAAAGGCCGAAATATCGCAAAAAAGTTTTTACACTTTGAGGAGGTGGAAAAGTCAGTGTATCGATATTAGGAAAATGCAACTTTTGGCAATGGAAACAGATTTAGCGAATAAACAATGACGTAGGCTACCGAATCCTACTTCTACTTCACACACACACCTCTGTGTGAACTTAGAGAGAGGTAATCACTCCAGCGTCAGGTGAGTGTATTTCGCAACTTACCTGAATAAACTGGACGTGTTGAATACCGCTGCATCATGTGCACTGCCTGGTGTACCATGAGACGCTCTCAATGACGTCATCTCACGGCACCCTCTTCTTCTACGGGTGTTCTTTTGCATTTTTATTTTTCATGAGAAGCGCCACCTTCTGCTCGACCTGTTGACTCCCAATACTCACAAAACAATAATGAATGGAAACGTGCATAAATTTGCGTTTTCTTTTGCGCATTTTCACAAAATTCGCTTAAAATTTGCGATACATTTGGATGGAAAGCCAGTTATTGACGTTAGGTAGGCTGGGATTCAACATGATATTGTCATGATATAATATCGCTGTGATTTTTAATCCCATAAAGCTTCAATTTATAGCCCAGGTTATTATTTGATTAAATGAGTGAACTCAGCAGGCCTTTAATTGAGACAGGCCTTTAATTGAAACAGGCCTTTATTTGAGACAGGCCTTTAATTGAGACAGGCCTTTAATTCCTGTCACACAAAACTGTTGCTCAATAAACATGAAAATATAATCAAATATATTATTAATATTTATTACCTTTTTTCAACATTCGTTTTTATGTAATCAGATAAAGTTTTCAGTCTGTTTTTATTAGCAACTAAATGTTCATCTGTTGGACTGAAAAAGTAATTGATTATATTATTCTATTACGCTACCTGAGGTTTAATTTGAATTTGTCATATTGATAACTTAAATAATAAAAAAATCAATACTTGGCATTGTGTGATGATACGATGCTGCCACACTAAATTATCATGATACTTTGCTGTATGGATTTTTTTCTCCACCACTAGACGTTCACTAGGCAGCTAATGTGATGAGTGCTGACACAGTTCTGAGCTTACTGTGATTAAAGCCCAACAATCAGAGTCCTCCGGCCGATCTACTCCTGACACATGAGCTGTTCTTTCTCTGCTGTGATGGCAGCTGAGCTGAAGAAGCAGCAGTGACATCACCGGCGCCTTCCTGAAACGTTCAGAGACCTTAAGCTTAAAGCGTTTAGAGCAGCCGCAGACAAATGGCGGAGCGCTCTGAGAACAGATGTTGAGAGTGGCGCTCCAGGCGTCTGTATGCAGCCTGATACACTCTGTCCTCACTGGGAACAATTAAAAGTAAAGACTCTGTGTGGACTCAGGTCCTGATAATCAATAAACAGGAAGCAGTGTGTGACTGTGACTTCCTGTTTTTTACCTTTCAGCCTTTGATGCGTCGGACGAGAACCTGGATGCTCCGTCAGCTGACAGCAAACGTGAGTTTCTAAACCTGCTGAGGCCAGCTTCATTCCACACAGCTGTCATGTTTACACACAATCAGTCATCAATAATGGATCAATAACATGATCAATAACCAGCTGTTTGTTGTATGAAGCTGCCGATCAGCTGATCAATCAGGAGAACAGCAGAGACGGACTGATCTCCTGGAGAACGTTTCATCAGTACTGTAAGGCTGCTGGAGGTCAGGACACACACACACACACACACACACACACACACACACACACACACACACACAGAGTGGCCCTTCAAAATAAAAGCCTGTGTGTGGATTCTTCCTGCAGGATACTGTGTGTGCCTCCTCATCCTCCTCCTCTTCATCGTGCTGATGACAAATGCAGCTCTGAGTTACTGGTGGCTCAGTTACTGGTTACATCAGGGACACGGGGTGAGACACACTGCACTACACTTCCGATCATGCTTTACAGGAAGTTCAGTTATTGTCAGGGGACATCAGTTCCTGTCTGTCAGAGACAGGAACCAGAGGAGGAAGTGTCACACCTGTGATGTCATCAGGTAGAGAGACGTGGAGCTGAGTTATGTTTTCAGGTCGTCTGTCACATCTGTGTGAACACAATGTTTCAAAAACACCTGGAGGAGATTTCTTTGGCACAAACATCCACGTGGACGCAGCAAAGCTCCTGAATTAGATTCATTTAGATTTTTTATAAACAGTTACCAGCTCTGTGTGTGTGTGTGTGTGTGTGAGCACTAGGGACCATCATAACTAATTTACCCCACTGTCACCAGCAGCTTCCTGTCGGACAGGAAACATCTTCATCCTCTCCTTCAGTGAAAGTACACCTCTGATCCTCTGGTTTTATCTGCTCGATGTTCCTCCTCTCTTCTTTGGTGTTTTTTTGGCACCACGTTCCTGTTTTTTGTAGCATCCTGTTGGATGTGTGCTGCTCACGGTCGGATCACTACCTTCTTATAATGCCCCACCCTCACCAGCGTGCTGTGACCAGGAACATGCTGAACACAGTAAATATAATGAACTCCAGTCAAGGGGCGGGGTCTCTGCAGATAGACACACCTCCATCGCCTGTGGGTGGGGCCACAATGATGACTGAGAGGAGTCACAGCTGTATGAGAACCTGCAGAGGAGATCTTTAATGTGACAGACGATCAAAGACAGGAAGTCTCACTTTGAGACATCTGATCATTTATAAACCAAACTATCAGCTGATTCACTGACAGAAAAAATAACTGTTAGTTTTTAATGTGAGGACTGACTGAAGTTGTGAACGCATATAAACACTGTTCAGCAGCAGCAGCAGATGTTGATCACAGCTGGACTAAGGTTGTTCTTGTTGTTGTCGTGTTGTTCCTCAGGGCTCCAATGTGACGTCATCACAGCAAGGAGATGTGACTCTGAACCCAGAGCTCCACTACTACCAGGAGATGTTTGGCGGGATGATCCTCATCCTGCTTGCCATCTGCGTCATCAAATGCGTCGCCTACGACAAAGTATCGTTCCATGCCTCCACCACGCTGCATAACAACCTGCTGGAGAAGGTCAGACAACTCAACATGTTGTGTTGTCAAGGTGTGACAGCGATGTTCAGATGAAGGGTTTACCCTACACCAGAGTGTAGCAGAGACAACAGAATACTGTAGAAATAACAGAATACAGCAGAGACAACAGAATACTGTATAAATAACAGAGTACAGCAGAGACCACAGAATACTGTAGAAATAACAGAGTACAGCAGAGACAACAGAATACTCTAGAAGTAACAGAATACAGTAGAGACAACAGAATACTGTATAAACTAGAGCACTCGGAGAGTGCAGACCTCCGCCAAGCAGCACGGATTTCCCGCCATTTTATTATTTTATCCACTTTGCTTCAACCGATCACCACCAAATTTTTATCATCTGTTCCTTCATCAAAATCCGTTCAGAACTTTTCAAGTTATTTTGAAGACAAACCGACCAATGCCGGTGAAAACATAACCTCCTTGGCGGAGGTAATAACAGAATACAGAGGAGACAGCAGAGACAGCAGAATACTGTAGAAATAACAGAATACAGAGGAGACAACAGAGACAACAGAGTACATCGAAGACAACAGAGTACATCAAAGTAAAGCAGAGACGCAGAAAAGCAAGCAGGCAGACACAGCAGAAGGACAAATGATTAGAGAGAGAGTTGCAGATATCACTGGATAGATTTGAAGATGACAGTTTTTATTTCGTGGTGTTGGTGAACATGGTCTGACATGTTGGTCCATGACCTTGTTGAGATGTAGTGACTGTGACGGCTGCAGAGTTTCATTCATGTCATTTTCACACTGACCTGATGACTCAGTGAGTCCTGGTGTGTTCCTCCTCTCTAAATCTGTCCCCTGATAGTGCTTCCTGTACTCTGTGATGTTTTATATGATGTGAGTCATGTAAAGTGTCACATGAATCCTCCTGTTATTGCTCTGACAGCTGTCACTGATGAGCGGTCTCAGCTGATTAGTCACTGTCTCCCACAGGTCATGGCCAATGCAATGAGCTTCTTTGACACAACTCCGTCAGGTCGCATCCTGAACTGTTTCTCCAGGTACCAGGTGGAGGTGGACACGTTGGTGCCTCATAACCTCAACATCCTGCTCATGTTCTCTCTGATGGGGCTCTGCATCTGCATCATCAATGCACTTATCTTCCCCGTCATGCTGCTGCCTGTGTTGATCGCCATCCTGTTCTTCATTTTCATCCTCAAGTGAGTCGGCGCTTTTCATCTGAGACAAACATGAACATGACCTTTAATTACTGAGGTGATGTTGCTGACCTGAAAACAGTCACGAGGGAAAACAAGTGCACGTCATGATCCTGACTTCATGTGAGTAAAAGAGGAAACACAAACAGACAGGGCTGAGTCATCTGCATAAAGATGGAGGTTATACATGAAGTATTAATTACTGTAAAATAAACCATGTAACGATGAATACTGAATCTCAAACTGTGAACACATGAACTCTTACACAAGCTGAAGCAGAGTCATCACATTTAACTTATGATCAGTTCAGTTCATATTAAATCACAGACTTTAACATTAAACCGACCTCGAGGTTCCGCCCTCTGGATGATAGCTCATTATTCTATTTAGTCTCTGCTCTGAAGTCACAGATATCTTGACTCGAGCTCAGTGACCATAGTGTTGGTTTTAATCTGTGGTTTTGTTCAGCTGACATGAAGTCACACTGATTTAAGGTTTCAGTCTGTTTAGTAAAACTGTAACTTAGTTCGTCAGTAATGACGTTTGATTGGTTAAATCACAGACATGTTTGGTTCATCAAAGAAATCACATATAATAAAAAGTATTTTTGTAGGAATCATGATGCAGCAGCCACTGAAATGCCTCTGAACTCAGATGGAAACATTGACGATGTCTCACAGTGTCAATATTCAATAATATTTGTTGATATTAGTTGTGTCAGTTCTTCTTCTGTGGTGAGTGACTGTAACAACGGTCTGTTTCCTGCAGGATGTTCCTGAGAAACGTCTGTGTTTTAAAGAAGATGGAGAACATGAGTCGTTCTCCGTGCATCTCTCTGTGCACCTCCGTGGTTAAAGGCCTCAGCACCATTCACGCCTACAACAAGACGCACGACTACATCCAGCTGTAAGAGGGTCCTTCATCACTCCTCCTCTTCATCTCTCAGATAAAGCCTCTATTGTTCTGTTTTCAGATGCAACTCATGTCATTGATTATTTGTTGTGAACATGTTGATCTCAGCAGTTTAACAGAGCTGAGCTCTGATTGGCTGTTACAGAGTCAGACAGAGGTGACGTCTGTGTCCTGACTCGTCTCATCCTGTTTTTGTTTCAGGTTTAAAAAACTGTCGGACATCAACGCGAATCACTTCTTACTGTTTAACTACTCGATGCGTTGGCTGTGTTACCTGGTGGACTCTCTGTGTGTCGTCATGACGCTCATCGTCTCTCTGCTCGTCGTCCTGACCTCCAACAACTTCTGCAGCGCCCCCATGAAAGCCCTCGCTCTGTGCTACATCATACAGGTGAGACTGTCACCTGACACACACACACACACTGTAACAAACACACTCAAGTACATCATTAAAAATACTGGGGAAAATAAGATCATCAGTGCCAAAGATAATTTAAACTGAGTTGTGTTGGCCCACATTAAAAACACATTATTATTATTATTATTATTATTATTATTATTATTATTATTATTATTATTAGATGATGATGATTTTATTATAAGATTCAGAGAGAGGATGATCCATAATGACAGACAGCGGCAGGTTTCACTGAGGACAGGAAGAGCTTCATACTGATGATGGATCAGTTCAGACGGCCTGAGGTCTGCACATGTTAAAATAAATATAACCCTCAGCTGATATCAGTGAACACATCATATATCTGATTCAGCTGATGAGTCTAACATCGATATAAAGTGTGTATTTGATTGATAATAATCTGAACCTTTGTGTTTCCAGCTGACGGTGAACTCTCAGTACTTGATCCAGGCCATGATCGAGGTTCAGGCCAGATTCATCTCAGTGGAGCGACTGCTGGAGTACATCACGGTCAGTTTGCACCTCTGGTGGTGATGAACCTCCAGACAATCATCAGCTGAACCTGCTGCTCCTCTCAGCTCTACAGACATTTATACTTTCAGCTCATTGTTTATCTGTCCAACTACAACTTCACTGTCCTCATAGTGACTGCCCTCGACCTGCTCAGATAGTGAAGTGAATGTCTGAGGCTTCAGGCTTCAACTTCCACCAGTCAAATAAAATACAAAGTGAAGAGAAACAGGACCAGAATATCAATAAAATATATAAATGCACATCTAAACATGTTTTGTGTAAATATAGGCAGTGCTGATGAAACTCTACACGACTGCTTCACCAGATTATAAAGGTTATGATTACAACTAACAATGACAACAGATAACAGTAACAACAGATTCTCCATCAACATAGATTTTGAAAAATTCCCAAATACTCACAAAACTCATTAAAACTCACAAAGACTCCTCCAGAAACCTCCAGACTCCTTCAGACTCCTTCAGACTCTTTCAGACTACTTCAGACTCCTTCAGACTCCTCCAGACTCCTTCAGACTCCTTCAGACTCCTTCAGACTCCTTTAGACTCCTCCAGACTCCTTCAGACTCCTTCAAACTCCTCCAGACTCCTCCAGACTCCTCCAGACTCCTCCAGACTCCTTCAGACTCCTCCAGACTCCTTCAGACTCCTTCAGACTGCTTCAGACTCCTTCAGACTCCTTCAGACTGCTTCAGACTCCTTCAGACTCCTTCAAACTGCTTTAGACTCCTCCAGACTCCTCCAGACTCCTTCAGACTCCTCCAGACTCCTTCAGACTGCTCCAGACTCCTCCAGACTCCTTCAGACTCCCAGCCTACCTTCCAGACTGAGATGAACCCTGCTGCCTGCTGGTCTGCTCTCTGATGACTGTTGGTTGTGTTCAGGGCTCTGAATCTGAGGAGTTGCAGCAGCTGCAGGTGGATCAGGTGTCGGAGGACTGGCCTCAACACGGAGCCATCACCTTTGTGGACTATAAGATGAGGTACAGACCAAACTCACCGGTTGTCCTCAACGGGCTGCAGCTCCACATCAGAGCTGGGGAGAAGATCGGCATCGTGGGAAGAACCGGCTCAGGTAGGAACCGTTAGTGCAGCTGTGTCACTCCACTGGAGAACATTTATAATAAATGTACAGGTGATGTGTTTCTGCTGGTTTCTCCTGTGGTTCAGAAACTCTTGAAGTCCTCCTCACAGCATTTCACCTCAGCAGATCTCTGCAGGGCTCAGACGCTCTGTGAATAAGTTTTATCTTAACCAGAACCTCGTCTTAACTCAGAGGGGAAAACTTCGATAATCTCAGAGTTTCGTCCCGTGGAGCGACTCTGTGTACGAGGAAGCTTTGTAAAACGACTCCAGGTCTTTACAGTGCAGGTAAACAGTTTGGTTACCTGTGTAACCTGGGCTCTCTGAGGGGTCTGGCTCCTGTGATCAGGCACCTGCTGAGAAAGATTGGAGAAAGACTCCAGGTCTGTCTCCCTGAAAGGAGACCAGAACACTGGGGAGGATTTATGTCCCTCCTCAGGACCCTTCAGGAGGTCAAGGTTAGGGAGAGGTTTACTGCTGCCCCGTCCACCTGGACCTGGACCTGGATCAGGACCAGAGAGATGATGGAGGTGTGGTTCATGTTGTAATGACACGTGTCTCTGTGTGTCCAGGGAAGTCGTCTCTGGCGGTGGCTCTGTTCCGGCTGGTAGAACCAGCTGCAGGAAGCATCTTGATAGACGGTGTGGACATCACGTCCATCAGTCTTTCTGCTCTGCGCACCAAACTGTCCATCATCCCCCAGGACCCTGTGCTGTTCACTGGGACTGTCAGGTAACCTTCGCTTCCTGTCACCCTCCACTTCCTGTCACCCTCCGCTTCCTGTCACCCTCTGCTTCCTGTCACCCTCTGCTTCCTGTCACCCTACCCATTTGTCTTTACTGAGACAGAGGAGGAGGTTCTGGACACGACTCAGAGATGTTTAATAATCAGATCCTCCTGAAGAGTGTCCATCATCATCATCATTGTCATCATCCTCACAGACAGGTGTGTGTGTGTGTGTGTGTGTGTGTGTGTGTGCAGATACAACCTGGATCCTTTCAACAGATACACTGATGAAGAGATCTGGACAGCGTTGGACAAGACCTTCATGAAGGACACAGTACGTTACATCATCATCATCATCATCACTTTATTATTGTTGTTGTTTATTGTCAGTCAAAGTTTCTCCTCAGGACATGTTTGACTCTAATCAGGTCCAGCTGTGGTGACTGGACATCAGCGGTGTGGTGTTTGTCTCTGATTGGTTGAACAATTTCTTCTTCCGTGGTGTTTGCTCAGATCTCCAGTCTGGACAGGAAGCTGCAGGCCGAGCTGACGGACAACGGAGGGAAGTTCTCTGTAGGACAGAGACAGCTGCTGTGTCTGAGCAGAGCACTGCTACGGAACTCCAAGGTCTGTCTGTATGTGTGTGTGTGTCTGTGTGTGTGTGTGTGTGTGTCTGTGTGTGTCTGTCTGTGTGTGTCTGTCTGTGTGTCTGTCTGTGTGTCTGTCTGCAGGAAACAGTTTGTGTCCCAGAGAGAAGCTCTGTGTGTGTCTCTTTCTCAGAGTGTCCACTGGGCAGTTCTTTTCAGATTAAAAACACTTTGTCCGGGGTGTTGGTGGCTTAGCGGTAGAGCAGGCGCCCCATGTACAAGGCTGTTGCTGCAGCGGCCCAGGTTCGAGTCCAGCCCGTGGCCCTTTGCTGCATCTCATCCCCCCTCTCTCCCCCCCTTTCACACTTGGCTGTCCTGTCCAATAAAAGCAAAAATGCCCAAAAAACATATCTTAAAACAAAACAAAATAAAAATTAAAAAAACACTTTGTCCATCTGTCTGTCTTTCTGTCTGTCCCTCAGATTGTCCTGTTGGACGAGGCCACAGCGTCCATCGATGCAGAGACAGATGCTCTGCTGCAGATCACCATCAGGGAGGGATTTAAGTCCTGCACCGTCCTCACCATCGCTCACCGCATCAACACTGTGATGCAGGCCGACCGCATCCTCGTCCTCAACCAGGGAGAGGTAAGACTGTCGTTCAGCTCATTTGTAACACAGGTGTTACAAACACAGATGTAATACAGGTGTAACACAGGTGTAATACAGGTGTTACAAACACAGGTGTTATACAGGTGTCACACAGGTGTTATACAAATGTCACACAGGTGTAATATACGTGTAATACAGGTGTCACACAGGTGTTATACAGGTATCACACAGGTGTTATAGAGGTGTCACACAGGTGTTATACAGATGTCACACAGGTGTAATATACGTGTAATACAGGTGTCACACAGGTGTTATACAGGTATCACACAGGTGTAATACAGGTGTCACACAGGTGTCACACAGGTGTTATACAGGTGTTATACAGGCGTCATACAGGTGTCACACAGGTGTTATACAGGTGTAATACAGGTGTTATACAGGTGTCACACAGGTGTTATACAAGTGTAATACAGGTGTCACACAGGTGTAATACAGGTGTCATACAGGTGTCACACAGGTGTAATACAGGTGTCACACAGGTGTTATACAGGTGTCACACAGGTGTAATACAGGTGTAACACAGGTGTTATACAGGTGTCACACAGGTGTTATACAGGTGTCACACAGGTGTAATACAGGTGTCACACAGGTGTAATACATGTGTAACACAGGTGTTATACAGGTGTCACACAGGTGTTATACAGGTGTCACACAGGTATAATACAGGTGTCACACAGGTGTTATACAGGTATCACACAGGTGTTATACAGGTGTAATACATGTGTCACACAGCTGGTTCAGGTGCTACAGTGTTGCAACCTGGGTGTTTCACAGGTGTTTCACAGGTGTTTTTGTCTCTGTGTCGTCCCTCAGGCTGTAGAGTTCGATCAGCCAGACGTGTTGAAACACAGACCACACTCACTGTTCTCGTCCCTGCTGGCTGCCTCCAACACTGTGGTGTCATGACGTCCTCAAACACAGCGCAGTGACCTCAGAGTACTCTGACCAATAAGAGCAGTCTGATGAGTGACTGTAGTTCAGTTTGTTTCAACATGAATATTTTTTATTGTTTTATTGTTACGTTGGTGATATAATAACTGAGTGTGTCTGATGTGATGAAGAGTTTTTATCTGTTTCTGTATTAAACTGATTTATTTTTAACCTGTGATGAGTTCATGGTCATTTGTGAGGATCACAGTCTGACTCCAGGTCTGATCCGTCAGTAGACACCTGGTCAGACCTGATCCAGGTGTTTGTCTCTGTAAAGACTGGAAAACAGCAGAATCACCTGTCAGAGTCCAACAGAGGGACATTACGTCTGACCGCTGTCCTCCTATCACCTGGTTCACTCTGATAACAATAACAACCACGTGATCAGACTGTAGAGATAATGGGCGGAGCCACTGTGATGTCACACGTTAGTTTGTTGACTCCTGTTTAGAAGCCTCGAGTTCTGTCGTCACCATCTTGTTTTTTTGGAGCCAGTGGTGACCATATTTGGGCCAGAGGGTGGAGCTGTGGAGGAGTGAGGGATAGATCTATCATCAGGCAGCTTGTCACTCAAAGAGGCCCTGCCCCCTTAATGATGTGTAGCCTTAATAAATCATAAACAGGTGAGTTCTATAAAAATGTTGAAGTGGTCATCAGAGGAACTGCAGGTTTTGGATGTTTCGGCCTCAGAGGCTGCTGATCAGTAAAAAGTACTGGACTCTCCTCGGCAGAGTCCAGGAGGTGAAGTGGTCTGAACAGACGACCTGCTGGACCTCAGGTCAGGTTCCATCAGATGGAGCTTCAGGTTCAGATGTTCATCTGAAACACAGTAAAATCTGATGTTAAAGTTCATTGTTTCTCTGGATGAACTGCTGGATGTGTTTCTGGTGTCCTCCAGTGTCCTCAGATGTCCTGTAATCTGTCTGTCCACACTGACTCTAGAATAACATCAGTACTTCACTGTATCGTTCATCAGAACTGACAGTATTACTGCCTTAGATAATAAAACATCTTGTTTTTCTATTTTCTATTTCTATTTTGGTATTTTCTATTTATATGAATAATTTAGGTATGGATTTAGATCCAACAAAAGCTCATCTTTATGCAGATGACACAATATTGTACACCTCTGCAACATCATTGCAAGAGGCAATAAACTACTTACAGTCTGTCTTTAATCAGGTGCAAAAATCCCTTATAGGTTTAAAGTTGGTATTCAATGCTAATAAAACAAAATCCATGGTTTTTACACGCTCACGTTCTCCTGATTATGAGATTGTAACACAAAATGGTACTCCAATAGAGAGGGTAACCTCCATTAGAGAGGGTAACCTCCAATAGAGAGGGTAACTTCCATTAGAGAGGGTAACCTCCAATAGAGAGGGTAACCTCCATTAGAGAGGGTAACTTCCAATAGAGAGGGTAACTTCCATTAGAGAGGGTAACCTCCAATAGAGAGGGTAACCTCCATTAGAGAGGGTAACTTCCA